AGCTTCGTTCATCGAAGTGGCTGGCAACCAAGTTCACGGTGTACTGCTGGGATAGGCTCTATAGCACGCCCGCGATGTTCGTGAGGATAAGAAGATTCGACAATGGATGAATGGATGGATGGACATTCCAAACAGCGATAAGAAAATGTTGGACCATGTCTAGAAGAGACAACCCTGTTGTTAAACGGGTGAGGTGCTGGATAGCTCACCTAGACACTGAACACTACACAGCTGGTGAAGAAGGTTTAGCGGCAAGAAGCTGAGAAAGCTATTCGACCTCTAAAGAGCTGCCAGGAGGAATGCTAGTTTCAGAGTGAGCATGAAATACCGCGTTCTCCAGGGGGTCTCGCATGCGTTTGTTCATGGGGAGAAGAGGAGGAGGTTATTCTCAGGAAAAAAAAATTCTGCCGTTCTCTCCTTACTCCGCAAACTTTATATGGGCTCGCACTGCCAGACACACCGAACTCGCATTGGGTCTGACCGCAGCAAGAATTGGTGTCTAGACGCGGAACATATCAGTCTGAACCGTCAGGCTAAATTGCACAAAAAAACGCATGGTTCTATTTTGCATGAGTTTTACAGTTGCCATATACTGTACGAGTAGTTCTTGTAATACAGTATATTATTTACTTGGGTTATCAATAGTCAGTTTTGACCGATACTTTTTTTGATGTTTTTCCTGCCTTGGTATATTCTTTCGTAGATATACCAAATGTTGTGGCCAGTATGTTGATGTTACAGCAGCCAATGCAGGGTTCACACACAGTCGCTTTCAGACGTTGCCCTTTGTCATTATTATTATAAATTATATTATAAATTCAACGTATTTCCATTCATTCCCAATGAACCGAATTCACTTTTCGGTAAAATGTTTGAGTGGCCCATCAAAACATGCCTCGGAGCTTCTGAGGCGGCATTCGAATTTCAAATGGAGTTACACACTGAAAAAGCGAAGCAGCGCAGTGTTGCGATCACATCAATTTTAATAGCAGAGAGACGTGTATGATGCATTTCCAAGAATTTGTAGGTTAGAATTTCCTTCTGGCCTTTTCCCCAGTAGACGGGTAAACTACAATCATGGTAATCCGTGAGCTATTAGGTAGCTAATTGTTCTCATCTGCTTTCTTATGAAGACAAAAGAAGAAGCGGACCCTGATGCTTTGTGATGAAAGTGCAGTGCAATACAAACTTTTGGGATAGCGAGGTTGTTGTACTATCAATCATCTTGTGTGCTCAGGATTCTGAATGTGCCTACTTTATGGGAGTCATTGCACACTAAAGGCCAATTAATTTGGCGGGGTGTTGCTTAACAGCCATATTCCTCAGTTGGATAAGAATATGTTTTGGTTTGATGTTTATGGGTTGATTTGGTGGGAGGCTGGAGGAAGCCTGCTAATAGAGTAGTTGACGTTCGACAATATAACACGCACACACATGCACGCACATTTCTAGGCACGCACTTTTTTCCTATGTAGATGAATCTTGGTGATAATATGTGTCTATCTTCAATACAAGTTAGTGTAATTTTCAGTGTGGGACAGAAAATGAGGTTCGCTCATTGGTGATTGGAACTCATGCGGTGGTTATTGCGTGCTATTTCAGAGTAAGCGCAAACAAGGGTTTGCGCGTTCCACACATTAATGGGCTCGGCTTTGTCGTGGTGCCTCATCTGGTGAAAGGACACATATGCATCTCTATTCTTGTAGTCCATTTTAAAGATAGCTTCATTTATATGTATGAGTTTTGTGGCTGGTGATTTAGTCTGAATGCACGGCGCAGCGCAGGCTGCTTCATGATTAACATAAATCAGATTCACGTTTGTCATATAATTCGCCCCTCATCTGGGCGTTGATGCATGGTTCATTTTTAGCAATCTCAGAAAATAAGATTTAATATTGTGCAAATAAAGGAATGCGCACGCAGGTACTTGTTTTACACCTGCAGAACAAGAGTTTGGCGATTCAGAAGGTGTAGATCCAGGAGATACAAATAACCCATTAACTATTCTTTTGTTAGCGGGGAAAAAAAGGATTAATTCAGAAAGGCTGTCCCACAGTTCACGAGCCATTTCAACATCCGATGCTCGTGTCTATGCCATTGATGAGAGCCGCACAAAAACTGAAGGTCACGCAGTGTTAACAGGGAACTACACAATCAAATTGTAAAATCAGCCACTACTAAAACAACCATGCAATGGTACGCTAGGCTCATTTACAAATGATGGTGATATGTTAGCCTATTTAGACGACATCTGCCATGACCAAGTTAAGGCACTTTATTATCTCCTGAATTCGTTAGCCGGTCCCTCAATGATCAAGTCAGCTATGTCTACATTTCCACAATGTTTGCGAATCAACTCGCCGTACCTGTTGAAATGTAAATTACTTCACAACCTCCCATTTAATTTACAACCGTAGAGAAGACGACTTCCCGTATTTCAATATTTCGGATGGTTGTGATTCAACCTCCACAGTATAATGTCAGATTTTTGCAAAACATTTTAGGGACGTTTTCAATTGAAATTCTAGTCCACATCCACAGTCACTGAAGGCCCAGATTTCGTGGAAGAGCTTTTTCTCATCATTTTTCCAATACCCGATGAAGCGTCATGAGAGGGACAAAACATAAAACGGTAGACAAAGCCCTCAGTAGTTTTGCATCACGACAAATCCAATAATAAACAGATTTGGTTCTGTTCACCAGAATAGTTTTGTTGTCAAACTCATTTCCGTGCTCAGTGACATTTAATAATTCACAAGGGTCCTGTTTGATCAACAATTACGTTTGAGCTCAAAATATGAATTCACAGGAACCAAGGTGGTTAAAAAAAAAAAAAAAAACACAACGAGGATGATGTAAAGTGAAGCATGCTATAAGCAAGCATTTAGTTACATAATCGTTGGCACCCGTAACTGGCATCCAGTCCTGCCTCCTCTGGTCCACTGAGCATCTCAGTAAAGCTCTCACTTCTCCTGCCAATCTGCACATTCATTACCAAGATGGCACATGACGGCGAACGTCGCTTCAGAGGGACATTTCAGTCAAGCTTTTGTGCCAACTGAAAAATGTACGGACACATCAAAGAAGTTTTCGCACATCCTGCAAAATACGAAGTAATCATTAAGATGCAAAAAGAACGTTTAGTGAAAGCCAGAGGTTGGTTGGCACTGGGTTGATGTATATTAAATACTCATTGCTTTGATGAGTTCTTTTTTTCCTTTCCAATGTTCCAAAGCTGATTGCACTCTAAACAATAGAAGGAAATCTATTTGTGCTTGCCAATGTATTTACATTGAACAGACCCGCAACCACAAGGGTTGAACGCAATCCATTTTAGAAGTAG